ACTTCCAATGGCCACACCATCTACTTGTCGAAAATGTTCTCCTTCAAATGTGAAATGAACTTTATCAGTACATAATAATAACAGCTCTCTGAAACACGTTGAGGGAATAGGGAAAGAAGGATTACTGGGAAATATATGGTCACAAAGAATGTCAATAGTTTTAATGAGAGGTACAACAATAAATAAGGAGTTGACATTTTATTCTTAAAAATCGAGAAGTCCAACCGACCACTAAAGTGCCCCTTAAAGTCACTCAAATATACGGGAATTGTAGAAAGACATTAGACGGCTAATAAAACAGTCAAAGAATAAGGACAAAGATAGACATATGGATTGACTATACAGGCCACGCTAGCCACTGCTAAAATAGCCAATCAGCTGTCGTTATTTCGGCTGGTAAGGCAGTTTAAAATGATACAATAAATATCTTCCTTGAATTGACCGGAATCAAATGAACTGTAGCTATTTTTCCAACTATACACCAGAATTTTTCTAACCCAACTAATACTCAGAACTAAGTTTTTCTTAAATTTTGAGGGGGTTGTGGAGATTTGGAAATATTTCAAGTTGTTATTCATCGAAGACTGACATCACTTGGAGGAATAAAGGAAGTCTGGGAGCATTGGACAGCTGTTTCATCCTAGTATGGGACTCCTCAGCAGTGCGCACCCACGACCCCACCAACGATGACATTGGGTGGCGGTTTGCGCTATATCGTGAGCTAACAGAATTTGGAAATATGGAGCATTGGAATCTGACCCAGTGGCTCAATGGTAACGCGCTGGTCGCGGAACCTGAAGGTCGCGGGTTCGATCCCTGCTGGTGGGGTCGTGGGTGCGCACTGCTGAGGAGTCCCATACTAGGACGGAACTAAGTTTTTCAGTGGTTTTACAATGTATCTAGATTGTGTTCCATAAATTGTCCTTGAATTTGCATGCTTACTCTTCTTAGACTGGCTAAAGGAAAAATAATCTGTCTTCCCGTTATTGTGAACTGTATGGCTAGCTTTATGAGTGCACTCCCTCATATATCGTTTTTGTCGTTAGAAGAAACAATGGATTAGCGACGCTGGAATCATTAAGAATCTTAGAAAACTTATTGTTATAATCCATTAAATAAGTTAGATATGTTAAGAAAAAAAATATTAATATCAGTTTCCTGCAGGTATCCAAGTTAGACTTTATTTTCATTTAAAAATTACTATCCACATTGATTCAATAACCCACACTTCAGTAATATATACAATATTTATTCAAAAGTACAAGACTTTGTGTGCAACAAACAAAAACTGATACGGTGTAGAATATTGGGCAGAAATAAAGAAAATGTTAATGAAGATAGAGATAAGGGAAGAACCCAAGACTTTACTTCTCTGTCTGTGTTGAAGCCATGAAGCTTATGAATTCACTTACTGGATAACAGTTATCAGGATTATTCTATTAGTGATGGATAGTGGCTAGCAGTGGAATCTACGACGTACACTTCGTCCCGTCTGGGACTCATCAATTGAATGTACCTGCTCGTTAGCGAGTGGCGTTGTCCCCCGTAGAACTCGAACCAAGGACAGGTCGCTTCAAACGCCGGGTTACGATAACCACTTCTTGTGCAACAGGTATAGTTTATATGTTGCTTGTATTATCCCGTCGCTGATTGGATCAAACTGGCCGGTTCCCATTGACATGTGAGATCCTGTGCCGATGGAAAGCGGCTACTGTGGAATCCAGGATGCATGTTTAGTCTTATTTGGGACTGACTCGCCAACTGCGTGTATCTGCCACTTAGTGAGTGATGTTTTTCTCACTAAATTTCGAACCCATTATTAAGACACCGCTAGAATTCGATGTTTCATGATGATATCAGAGAATAAGAGCAATAACACGTTAAACAGTGGTCAGGTAGCTGGATTACACAAGTATAGAGTAGAACGAATGACATATTTGTCTTTCAAAAGGCACTTCTAAAGATGAAGGTAACCCAATAATCTTGTAAAGGTAGAGAATGAGCACCATTTCGTGACAGCTGATTGCCGGCTGACTAAGTGGAATTTGTAGCAGCACTAAACTTCGCTCAACAACTACATGGTCGTGATTCCGTTGTACATAAACGCATCAAGACAACCGGCTAATTGGCCAAGAGTTCGAACGCGGGGCAGCATTTGAATTCCTACAAACAACTCACAACAAATTAGGTGCTTTCCCTAGCAGCTGTGTTTCTCTCTTAGTGACCCTTAGTTTATACCGAGAGGAAACTCGATATTGAATGAAAATGCATTGAGTATCTGAGCACATATCAGTGCAGTAGGCAGTAAACCATAAATATAGTGGGGGCTAAATGGCGATAACTCTCCATAAGCCCTTATTTGATTGCGTGAGTTCGAGTAGGGAGCTCTTTCCAAAGTTATATATTCGTTCGCGTCTCCCTTAACACTCAACCGCTGCCACAACACATGTCGGTTGACTGAGTCAAATCCCATGTTCAGTCCAAAAAATATATAATATCGGGAGCTGGTAACTATGCCTGTATTCCGAAACCTGCTAAAGGGTAAGGGTTTGATCGACGCAACCTAAGAATGGCTCTGGAACTCACCTGGTTTTCTCGAGCTTCCGTTAAACGTCGCATAACTAAGGACTCTAGGATTGTGCACATGTTAGTCAAACTGATCACTTTACGCTTGTAAAGTGCTTATAAACCGACCAGTTTGACTGGATTAATTCTGATTCCAATACATTACCTAGCACCGTTGTTGCTCTACTCAATACATTTGTACCTTAATTCTCGAAAGCTTTTAGTATGGTGATTAACTATCACATCACGTTACTTTGCACTTTTTTCAGATTTGAAACATCCGGTCAAGGCTGGATGCTGGACAACTGAAGTGTGACTGTAGGCCATCTGGACTGTTTATTAGAATTCTGCCCAATGCCCTAGCTACCTATGCTGAGAGGTTCCCACAAACTCTTCTTTTTCGGAGCTCTCTCCAGCCAACTTCTTCTTAGCAGTAACCTTAGTAAACCTATATAAATACTGATCCCTTCTCCATCTCTTTAACTTTCGCCACCCATCCCTGTGAAGACTCTTGTTCGATTTACGTTTGAGCCGCTTTTAACTCTCACTGTGGTCAGAATCAGCTGAAATGTCTTTTTGCGTCAATCAGTCAACATGCGGTTGAGGAAATCCACCGGCTTTTGCTAACTTTTGAATTAGGGTTTTCCACCCTTTTAAAGACAACTCTTACAATAATCAAGGGTGCGAGAAATCCCATATATTTATTTCCCTAAGTAAACTTGTACAACGTAATAAAAGCTCTCAGGATTCAATACATTATTTTGATCTCAACGGTTTACAATCGGCTGAATGGATAAAATAACTACTGTGTGAAACTTAAATGTTTACAAATAGGGTGTTAGATATAGATTGGTATTTGGGAGATCATGCAATAAAATCTATCACCAGACTCATTCACCGTGAATTGCATGTGCAAAATTTAACAGTTGTAAACCTCTTACCGTTCAGGTGACTAGTGATATCTTCACCATATTTACCATTACTATCATTTGACGTTGAGATGACTGAAGCAAAATATTATAGACAAAAAGGCAAAAGCACACAGGACCTCATACAGAAGCGCACCAGTTCAAGTTGCTACACTTCACAGTAGTATAAAAAGAACAACTGGACAGGATAAAACTGAGGTGAGTGGGAGAAGGAAGAATTTGACAATGAAGGTTAATCAAAACGTTCAAGTTTGAGAAAACACCAAACACTTAGTACATCTGCGCCATTTGTGACCGATATTCGGTCATTTCCTCAAGTCCTCAACACTAAATTATGATACTATAACCTCTTCTTTAATCTTACCGAAAATACTTCACCACCCCACCCCCCTAACTTCCTTCAATTCTGTCAAATTTCGATGTTCTAGTCTTCTTGTTTTTTGATCGCCAAGAACGCAAATCTACATCCGAAAAAAAACCTGTAAGGTTTATCGATTTTGTACTTTGATGGCCTATCATTTTCAGCTGTATGCAACTCATAGGAAACTGTTTAAATCATATGAGTTCAATTTGATCTGAATAACCTGTGCTTACTGCCTTGTTTAAATGACTGTAAGAGATCATTGACTTACGAATGACATAAGCTAGATACTTTGTATCTAGAAGTTTCATTTTTAAATAGAAAAAACTGTTTACATTTCTTAGAGAAGAGATATTTACAAATGACAATGGTGTAAGGATACAGAAATGATGATAACTGTTTACTGATTCATACAAACAAAACATTGTGAGGATGATTTCGGTCAGATAATCATCAGAAAGTATTCTGTAGAACGCTTTACTTCAATTTTGGCGTGGAGAACTACTTAAAATAGCTGTAAACACATAAAATTTACTCGAGTGATGACAAACAAGTAATCTGATGGCAAAGACTGAACATCTGTTCCTTCAATGTCGTATCAACTAGATGAAGCCAGAGAAGTTATGAGGAGAAACAGGCTTGAAGCAGTTATATACGAGTAATCTCTAATCAGTACCGAGGATGTGCAAGCATTGAAATCCACTCAGAAACGTTGTGCACATTCATACAGTAGGCAATGAAGCACGCTTACTGTGTTAGGGAGTGTGATACTACCAAGCTGCTCAAACCTCGACAGGTGGAGCGAGATATGAAATCATGATGTGTCAGTTGAGAATCAAGTACCCTAGACCGATAAGCCGCAGTTCTTTATTTACTAGTAATGTATCTGATGAATAAAACGGTACCATATTTAATAACAGCATTCAGATTTCTTCTCATTCACTTAGTCTTTTTCTCATGACAACTTACAAATATAGAACTGGTCGTCAATTCGATTAGCATACAACTATTTACTACCAAAGGCGAGACTGATTAGTTTCATTACCCCGAATACGTGTCCTACTTGTGGTTATTTCGAGAATATACAATACCTCAACATACATGACCACATTACAACTAGAAAAAATCCTCCAGAATCATCATCTGATAAAATCAATCAACTGCTATTATCATCATTGTTATTAAGAAAATTAACATTGCATTACTTGGAACAAATACTTCAATCCAATAAAAAGCGAAACGTTTACATAAACTGACAAATGATTATAAACACACCAAACTAAAATAAGTTGGATAACGGAAACATGGTAAACACTTATACTACGTAGGTATGTGAATGTGTGTGTGTGTGTGTGTGCGCGCGCGAGCAAAATGAAGTCACTAAGTGAAGGGGACACTAATGAAACAATACGTGTACACATTTGTGCGCGTGTGTGTGTTTGGGTGAATATATCAAAGTACGTACAAAACTTCAGCTGACGTTTAACAATGTCACTGATATTATGATAACTTTTTTGTGCATTTATGTGCCTGCAAATGATGACAATAAAAGTTTCATATTACAATAAAAGCTGTTACAATATGCATGTAGACGATGAACTCCATACAATTTGATTCAATCTGAAAGAGAGAATAATTAACAAAACAAAAGAGAGGAACATGTTAGTTGCACGATAACAGTACTCAGCATGTATTTAATGCATTACAAAGTGATTTCTATCTGATGGTAATGATAGATACTGACTAGCAATTAAATCGTTGCAGCAAATGATAAGACTGCCCAGATCCGCATAAGAGGCTCCAAATACCTGAAGCTTTTCACAACCGATCGTATAGTTTCGAAGTTTTATAAAAGAGCACACGAATGTAAATACCAGATTGCTTAAAGAAGTAAAACCAGTAGGATATGCCATTCTGGAAAGACCTAAAAATGGTCGTAATGGTGAATATATATAAACCGCTGTATTTTGCACATATTTTGATATTGCGGCTCACCCTCTGTTATCTTACCGGCTTTTTCTGAGTACCGAGAAACTGAGCGCCCAACAAGAGTGAAATCTGAAGGTTATTCTTCAAGTGTCTACTCTTGTATATACACAACCAGGGTTATATGAGAAATTGAGAGTGTCTTCCGTCCTATTTGGGACTTGTCGGTACGATGTACCTGCCTCCCAGTGACTGATGTAGTTCGCAACTGAGATTCAAACCCGGAACCCATATATTTTCACTCTAGAGTGTTATCCAAAAGGTTACTGAGTCACAATAGCCAGTATGTGTGCGATGGATATAGTTTTAATATCATCGTTTGTAATCTTCCGTCGTTGGTTAGATCGAACTGATCGGCCACTATTGGTATATGAACACCTCTGTGGATACCTCGACATTGTCAGTAATTTCAGCTTGATAGTAACGATGGATAGTAAGACAGTAGATCTAAAGTGTTGCATTTTTTCAGTGAATGATGTTTGAAAACATTTCCTTCTTGAAACCTACTTTTACACTCCGTAAAAGACTATGTTTAGATGCCAATACTGATTGAAGTAGTAATAGGCAGAAAAGGACCATAATCCGGTTCTGAAGGTTTTAATCTGACTTGTGTACATAACCATAGACACAGTGATTAGTGTTCATCAGAAAATTTGGACGATGGTACAGAAAGGATAAATAAAGTAACTGAATTTATTCAAATAAGAAAAGAGAACTATACATGCTGCATGGGAATGAGATTTATTTTAAACCAATGGATTGTGATTATTTTTTGTAATTGAAATAACTTACTGGATGTTATTCAGCGTGCAATCGAATACGTCGCCCATCAAACATTTTACCGTTTAAAAGATCTGTATAATTAGTAAAATGAAGAAAATATAGATGAATAACTATTAACAGTTAATAATTTTTCGTTAAACTATTAACATGATATTCAGGTAATAAGAACTGCCCTCTCTTAAATATAACTCATTAGTTTAAGTAGTTAACTTTCAATAAAAAAAGGTTCGAATCCCAACCCACCTACTTTATTCTGTACAACTAGGTGATACACAAGCTTTTATGAATGTTCATACATAACGGTAGAGCGGTATATTTAAACTATACTAACTATTCAACAAGTAGACTATCTTTTAAAGGTAAAAATAATATGCTTTCTTAACTCACCTATAGCTCGACGAATGCACTCAGGATTTGTGTAGGTGATAAACGCGATACCTTGTGAATGACCATCAGAATCAGTTACCAGATTACAATAACTCATATCTCCAACCTCTCTGAATATTCTTTTCACATCATGATTAGTAAAGGAGAATGGAAGCTGAAAATATATATGAGACAAGTTATAAAGTAAATTTAAAACTAGTAAACCATTAAAATGGTGTTATACATAATATACACATTAAATCTTATTGGTAGAGACATTCATATATTCTAGCATTATTTTATGCAGAGATATGCAAAGAGAGAATAGTGGTACCTTTTTCCCGATAAAATTCTGCTACATACAAATGTAATACACAATACTTATGAATGAAATCAAACTTTATTGAAAGTTCTGGCACTTTATGATACAAAGTAATAGAAAACTTAGGCAAAACTTACATTTTTTACAACCAACTTCTGTGTCATTTGCCGTCGATTATTATCGTATTGTAAACTATCCTCATCATATCCACGACTAGACCTGGAGTAACCTCCGCGAATAAGAATATCTGAAGGATCACATTTCATTACAGAACCACCATTATAGAAGTCTTGTTTATTAGTCCGAGAATCTATATGGTAGTTGCCTGATAAACAAAAAACATTATCAATAAAGATAAGTTTTTTAATGATAATAAAAGTTTGAGGTCATTAATGTAATTCTGCCATTTTAACACTACACCAGTAGTAGTATGTATGTAGAATATGTAACATATCCAAATGTCGAATGAAGTGAACTTGAAAGACCCCATAAAATGCAGTGAACAATATCATCTAACTAACCAAAGGTATAAATAGAACAAACATACACCGAAATGCATGGAAAATAGCTTCCACAATCTACTATTATCCAGCGAAAGGAACTCGGTCAAATTTCAAAGGCAGACATAGACACACAAAAACTAAGTAGAGGACTAAGGAGCTGTTACAAAATATCAATCATAAAGGATGGAATGTAGTATGGATCAATTGAATAAGGAATATACTACAATACTATTAGTTTCATGCAGAAACGCTATCCGTATGTATATACACTATGCATCTGACAGTGCATATGACAGTGAAAACAAACGATAAACACAGTGATAACTTGACGGAAATCCTGAACAAATCAAAGTATACGACGCAGAGAACTCATAAAGAGCACTAATTATAAGCTGTTTTCCACCATTTCAAAATTTCAAAACAGTGTTATATTTCTTCATAAGCAAAGCATTCAGCTGACCACAGATGATAGGATACGTTTGGTCATCTGAGTAAAGTAGTGAATCGAAAATAAAGACATACGTAATTACTTTGAATCCATCTCCTGGTGTATAATAACAATTTTGAAGTTAACTGTACTGTCATGATATAGAAGAGAAACAAGGAATTGAAAAAATCAACAAAATTCTACTCATGTATGGGTAAACAGCAAAAGTTCAAACACATATATACACAAAAGCATATACGCAACCACATTCTAGCTCACCTGAAGCTTCATGCTTTGAACGACCAATATAACCATTGTCAAAATGTGATCTATCAAGGCCTCGATCACCACCACCACCAACATGTCGACCAATCATACTCGAACCATTAAACTGACCAGACTGATCCAAATTAGAATTCTACACATATATATGCGTGGAATAGACAACAGTAACACAACTGAACAAAACGACGAAGTGAATAACAACGACAACACTCGTTTTTATAGCTTGATTGTAAAACAAGTACTTATGGGGAATACAACCATCGAGATATGTTCTGAGAAAAGAATCACCAACTGCTGTACAAACCTTTTCAAAAAAACTATACATATTAATATGTACTGGTAATGAACATCGAAGAAACGCGGACAACAATCACGCATTTTCTGATAACAAAAAAACTAGTATAAACACTGAAGCTCAACAAAAACGCTCGCTAAACTATCTTCATAACAGGCAGTGAGCTCTGTATTCAGTGAATAACAATAAGATATGTACAACTATCAAAGTAGCGAGGAAAACAAAAACATATACATTCGTACGTAAATCCTTCCCACTCTCATTTTTAAATCCACTGCAGTACACAATTATTCCCAAAGCAATTGGAAATGAACGAGAAATTTTATCATCATGACGAACTTCAAAAAGCTTGCGAAAAACACAGAATGTCTCCTTAATTCTGGTAAAAACAACATCAATATGTAGCTTCGATATTGGAAGCGAAAAAAATTGAATCTTGAAAAACAATAGAATAGCATTTTGTCGAAACCTAGTTATGCATACAATCACTGGGATATGACATTCACCTCTCTGTTTTTAGAACTTCATACAATAACCACAAGACGTCCTTCACAGTAATTAGTACTACATATGGATATCCACAACTCTCCGGAACACTTTATCGCATGCGTCTAGTAGATTTTCATTCACCCCGATGACGTTTGAATAGAGGAGATTTGAAGTTTCCAAAAAATAGCCCTTTACACATACAGCTTGCATTCACCTTAATTCCAATAAGATAAACTTCATTTCAGCTCCACTAAAACCTGTCACTGAATTTATTTCAAAACTACGATAGTGACTTCATAAACAAGAGAGGTCAAGGGTGACATAAATTAATGAAATTGACTATGGGTAGAGCAATAATTGTTGCATAATAAATAGTCATGCAGTAAGAAGTATTGTTTGCCTATACTCACATGTACACATACCTGAGACAGACCAAGGGTTGACAATACGTTGGCTATTTGTGACTGAGACATCCCACCTGCAGTAGCTGCTGAGATCAGTTGTTGCAACCCATCTTCCGAAAGCTGATTTGAGGAAAGTCGATTCATTCCTAGTAAACAAGACCATGAGATCAGTTACAAACAGTAAAATTATGTAGGATCTTCTGTTATTCCTTAAGGGTTCGATTTCCCAAACCATAGCCTCAACAAAAGAAAATCTAAAATTATTATAAAGGATAATGCATACCTTCAGGACAGGTTGCTAGAATGTCGAGCAGAACGCTCTGAAGCACAGTTCGACTGGCTCGCAGCAACGTTCCAGTTGCCCAATATTCCGCCTGAACCTAAATGAGACATAGATGTCTATCTTCCAACTCTCCTTGAAGTTGAAAAGTTGTAACGAACCTGAAACTATGCAAAGCAATAGGACCTAACAGTTTGCTAACTGAAGTTTTCAGGGATGCATGTGGCAAATTGCTAATTACAGTGATAGATGCACTTGGTCGTGTGTGGGAAGCAAATGTAAGGGCGTCAGACTGGTCTAGTTCACTGATCATCCCAGTATATAAGAATGGAGACGAATATTTACGTGACGATGAGAGGGGAATTAGTATCACTAATATTCTGTCCAAGATCTTAGAATCCATATTTCTCCGACGCCTAACTGCAGCCCGAGAAGAGCAAACTCGGGGAAAGCAAGCAGGTTTCCGACAGAGCTGGATGAGGGTGCATCGATCAGATTTTTTACCCTACAACAGGTTCTGAAACACAAGCAAGTGGCCGATACGTCATCTTTATTGGTCAGAAGGTGGCATTCTACCGTACAGTGTGAGGTGCTGTGGCAGTGTCTAACTGTGTACCGAGCAAGTACATAACGCTAATTAAAGCTCTCTAGTCGAATTCAGGCAGCAGTAATCTAAGGGCTTACAGAGAGTCGTCACCAGAAACAATAACAACTAGTAGTGTCCACCTGGAATGCCCACTGTCACCGCTCCTGTCTAACTACGTCATTGACGTACTGATGGACATAACCCTATGAAAGACTGAATTTGCAAGAATTGACCTAATCCCCGATGGTCATCCAGTTGATTTGGAGTATGTAAACGATACTGTCCTGCCAGGTGAAGACGCTGACAAAATCAAGGGTCTTCTGAACGCGTTGGGCAGAAGTCGGGGTATATTTGGCATGCCTTTCACACCTGTCAAATGTAAAATGAAATGATGCTTCAGGACTCATCTGCCACAACTACTCCCAGTTTATTGATAGGGAGTGAAATGGTGGAATGTGTCGACCACTTCACTTACTTGGGGAGTTGCATCAGCCTACCGAACAGGTTGGTTGCTGATCAAATCTCAGCTCCAATACAGAAGGCCAGTTTAGCATTTGCCAACTTGCATCGTCTATGGCGCCGACTGGAGAGATATTCGACTATCTATCAAACGACAAGTATATTACGCTGCAGTCCGTTCTGTCCTGTTATACGGCTGTAACATGCCTGTTGAAAGTAGAAGACATGAAACGATTAGAGGGTCTTGATCACAGATGTCTTCCTATCATTGCTCGCGTGGCAAGAATAAAACGTGGCACCAGTCGATGAAGTCTGAGTGTTGGTTTGAACCGTGTCGGGCGATGCTTGCTACGTGGCTGGGCTCTTTGAGACGACAGGAATAATGGTTGAGGACTCTTGGTGACATGGCTGAAAATCGGTCGCAGTGGCGCAGATGTATTAACTCCTTGATATCTATTAAAGCTTGAATATTAGCACTAACTTTTATTTTGGGAATGTTTATTTTCTCACACTACATCATCTTTTTGATATCATTCTTATTCCATCCACCCGTTCTTAGTGTACTTCTGTGAAGTGTGGCAACTTCAGCCAATGCATTTGTGTGCAAGGTTTTACGCCGATTTTGTGTCTGTCTGCCTGTAAAATGAGACAGATGATAGTCGACTTTGCCCATGACTACTTTAGAACCTAGGCTAACAATCTACTTTGAGGGGAACCTAGGTGGATAAACGAAGAACTTATGAAATTGTTGGTAGAGATCCCAAAATCTATGCTGGTTACCGAAATGAGAGTTTACGACAACTCTAAATGAAATAGGTTTGTTTAGGTGCTAAGAATATATGAGTTGAAACATTATAAGTGAGAACGTAAGTTATTCTGTAAATTTCGTTTCTGCTAAAGTATTAGAAACTCATGTGTAAAGCGTATTTTCTGGCTTAAATTATGTACTTGACGAATAAATGACTTGCATATTTAGTGATAAATCTTTAACAGATATGGAATACCACGTTTTTTTATTATAAAACTTGGTAAAATTTCAGGATTTAGTCGCTGAACCAAAATAGCAAGTCCACAAACCTAAGGTACAAGACACGGAACAAACTACAATAACAATAGACCAACTGTTGGGGAATATACAAACGAAACTTTCATCCATAAAATTCATACCTTGTGAAGCATTTGACATTGACAGTGAGTGACCAGCAAGATTCAGAGGACTGTTGGATGATCCAGTAGGTGCTAAGGCGGTCGAACACCCAGAAAGATTTGCATTTGAAGACAAAGTGCGAAGAATTTCCAATATTCCCCCCTGAGAACTTGAATCAGCATTAGCCTTCAGACCAAGCAGAGTCAACAGAGCAGCAATAACATTTGAGGACTGTTGTTCAGCTGGGACAGAACCAGAAGGAACCACTGATGTAGTGGAACCCAAGATTCCAGATGAACCAGTTCTTTGTGAAGGCGGATAAAGTACACCCGACGAAGCAGGAGTACCCTGACGATCTATTTTTACACGCATTGGTCTATCTTTTAATATCTAGGAACGAATACATTAAATACAACAGGCAGAAAACAATTATGAACATAGTGTGAAGCTCAACAGATCATTAGCAAAGACAAATATCAACATAAAGTATAAGCATGTGAGAATCACACGAGAAAGAGGATGAAAACAGGTTGTCACACCCTTACAGCACTGCTAGACATACATTTAGTAAATAAAACAATATTGCAACTCCACACTGTACATTTTTATGTACTACGCTATGAGAAACACTTGTTGCTTGAAGACTTATGATACTACCAAGTTGCCCAGGCCAAAAGTAGGTGAGGGTTCAAACCCGGGATCCACTGCTAGGTGCTCGAGTTACTAAGCCAACAAGTCGCAATTCCACAGCCAAATAATGCTTACTACAGACTAAATAAAGTGTACAACACTGAGGAAATGGTAACTTCTAACCAACACGTGATGTCTATGCATATGATGCTATATCAGTTTAAAACTTAAGTGTCAGTTTACTAGTCCTGGAGATCTACATAAGTGTGACACTTTATATATTGCTGCTACAGACTAGTTAAAAAAGAAAACATCGGACACCAGGCTTCAGTAGAGAGTTGACCGTTAGACTTATGACACGTTAGCAATGCAACTCAACCCGATACATGTTCACGTACTAGTCAATAAGCTCCATCCATTTTTCAGCGCTTATGATTCAACTCATCTCCTTAAAGAGTAGATAGATCGGGGTTTGAATCCTGGAATCATTGCTTGGAAGCTAAGTGCTCAAACCAACAAGAAATATCATAAAGGATATCTTAGTATTTCTCACAGAATATATACAGAGGTTTAAAAAATGATTATGTTGACATGCGTATCACACGAAATACATACGCGAGCAGTGAAGACATACAAGATACAGTAACAACACGAGACATGGTATACTTGGGTTTCGACCTAAACTTTACGTTAATACACTAGGAAATAACCAGAAGGAAGAACAGAGAAACAAGTAATAATACCACGATTAAAGATAGACAGACAGAATCAACGTAAAACCTCGCACACAAGTGTATCGGTTCATGTCACACTTCACAGCAATACACAAAGAACAGGTGGGTAAGAAGAGTAGTGTCAAAGACAAAGTTGTGTGAAAAAATAAACGATTTGAAGATAACGGTTAGTGCAAATACATTCAAAATTTAGATGTCAAGGAGTGAATATATCTGTATCACTGTGACAGCTTTTCAGCCATATCACTAAGAGTTCTCAACCACTGATTCCCATCGTCTCAGGGACCCCAGCCAGGTAGTCTACACCCTCCCCCCCCCCCATATGACAGACCAACAGCCAGTATTGTTATTATTATTATCATTGTTAGTAGAACACAAACACAGTACAACAAGAGACGACGAGATGCGCCACACAAAATAATATAACACTATTTTGAAGACAAGCCAAAGGGAAAGAGGAAAAGAGAAAAACAGTGTAAATAGAATGATTAGAAGAGCATCCCATTAAGATACATTTAAAACAAAACATTCATTACTTTACAGCAACCAAGGATAGGAGGAAGCTACAGTACGACTGCCACTGGTTTCGATTCTGAGTCATGTGATAAGGTCTCAAGCCACCGAGTTAAATGATTTCTCGAAGCTCAACAGATGCCAACCCGACACAATTATTCTTCATCCCTCGGCGCCACGTCCTACATTGACCACCTCTGCAACTCCCATCCAGTCCTAGGGTTACCAAACAGTGAGTGGTATAGAAGCCGTTGTGACAACATGTGTAACATATCCAAGTCACCAAAGCCGGTGTTTCCAGATGACTTCACTTATTGAATGAACTCTGTCATACCCAAACACACGCTGTCGTACCTCAGAATTACTTAGTGGTGCCACCGGATACGCGCAATCCTATGGAGGCAACGATGGTCGAATAGAGTAGTCGTATATCGAAAACTTGGAGAGGCCAAGTTTCATTGAAGTAGAGTAGAACTTCTCGCATCGAAGCATTGTAAACCCGACCTTCTACGACCAGACTAACGTCACAACGGTGCCAGATTTGCGTGTGCCACTCTTTCGATCTGCGACTAGAAATTTTATTACACACCCCCACTAGCACTGACACAACTACCCAAATACAAGAACTTCTCGACTACTTCCGACGGTTCACCACCAAGGGTGGGGGTAGGTACATGTTCCCCCCAATCTTGAAAAAGCACTTTGCACTTCCATGGTACAAAATATGTACTACACTTACGGACATTAATCGTCAACTGGTCAAGTGCGATCTGAGTAGCTTGTGTTATCGCAGAGTGAGACGTCATCTGGAATAGCAGTTTCTCAGGTAGTAGATCTATTCCACTATCATGCACCTTTTTCAGAGCTGTCTCATGAATGTCACTGATGGCAAAGTCAAAGAGGAATGGAGAAATCAAGCAACTATACCCAACTTCACTGTCCGTTTGGAACAATGGAGACAGGAAGTTGTATGCACTCACTCTACCTGAAATGTCATTATACAGGGCCTACAAGGGGCTTGCAGACACACCCTTCTCTGACAGACAGACAGTCAGTCCCAGAGTACGGCTCAATTCAACGAACCGAAGGCAGCCCTAATGTCAAGAAACACGACTGTTGGCCTGCAATGCGTGTGGCGATGTTCAAGCATCTGCGGAGGGTAAACACATGATCAATGCATCCAAGACCTGGACGAAACCCAGCTCGCTCCTCGTGAGTCATCTTTTCACGTGTTTTGCAAAGTCCGTGAAGTATGATAATAGCCAGTATTTCTGATACGACTGATAACAAACTAGTATTCCGATGGTTGTCACATACATTACGCAGACCTTTTTTACAGATGGGCACAAAAACGGCTTCATTCCAGAATGACGAAACACTCTCAGTTTGCCACACTTTACAAAATTTAGTCAGTTTCCTGATTAGAGACGTTCTTATATCTTTAAAAGGAGCCGAGCGCCTCGTTGAGTTTTCGAACCTAGAGTTCCGGATGGACCTCGGCTTCATCGGGTGGGTCAGTGCTAATTGACTATGGAGCACGACACACTGGAACTGAAGATGCTAGAGCCGTAGGCCGGCTAAACTGCTTTTTGATGTGCTCTGCTCAGGGTTCCATACGTCTTTGAAGATTGTTTATCGCCGTACCATCTATCACACATCGTTTTACTGACACCAGACTTCCTGTAGCCAGAACTTTTACAGACTAGTGCCATGTTTTGGTGAGACCATCCTAAACGCTCTTCCTACCTAATCCAACATCTAACATGGCACTTTGAGGTAGGCGGTGATTCTACATGAGTGAAACATGTCTAAGCCATTTCAGTTGATGAAGGTTCACGAATAAAGAGCAATGAGAAGGCGCGCTTATCACGATAAAATTTAACAAATGAGTGACACCCTATTTACCTAGCATTAAACCCCGCGTCAGTGACACTTGCTCAATGACCTCAGCACGCTTAGATGAGGCTTTACAAAAGTGACCTCGTATCGTCACTTACTTTAGACAGTGCTGAAGTTTCACTGTCCGAGGTCAGGTGAACTTGTAGCAAATGGCCTTGGGTGCAGTCGTGTGAACCTAAGGGTTTTTCTGTTTCCCATCTTTCACTGGGTAAAGACTTATATCTCTACTTAGTGTACACTGATAAATTGTAGCAACATTGCGAAGTTCAAGCTTACATCTATAACAGGATATTGTAAGCATGATGACCTGCACCCGGTTGTTTTCAGTTAAGCCGACCTTGAGCGGCAAAAACCATAACATTACTCTTGACATACTTCATCCGAGCTGCAAACAATGCAGAATGAAAACATGAACGAGTTGCTTATCAAAGCTAGGCCAACAACCAATCCAGTAGGTTGACGACCTTCACTTCCTTGAACTAAATACTTATCCAAACCCAACCTGGAGACTATTCATTTCTTGAAAGAACGCATCCCAAACATTCACATAATTACTCAAGATTTTGAACTTTTGTTAACACCTGTCGCTGCCGGTATGTCGTATAGCTAACGAATCCTGGTTGAGGAATCGAGTGACAGGAAGAGATACCACGAAAGCACACCTTCAAGTGTCTAAACAAAGCTTCCTACAATCTTTAGAGAAGTTTGTGGGATTGGAGTAAGGTAAATTAATCGACACTTTAAACTTCAGTATACCGAATTCAATTCCCCTATTTGACTCTGGAAAACTTTTCATTTGTGAGAAAATCGAAATCAAGCCATATCTCCATATAGATTGTCGTACACTTTTAATGTGTTGTGTCCTTTAACAGTATTCTAAACGTTTATTGCCCATGACAATCACTTTAACTAGGTCAAACTGCAGCAAATCGATCACGGCAACTCGTATTCGTTGATAATATCCAAACTAGTGAAACAGTGGATCGACTCTTTGAATTTTTTAAAATCGCTCCAACACATAGGGACTAACCTGATTGTTAAACATGCTAACGGCCTGAACCGCTTCATAAGGATGTGAAAACTTTAATATGCCGATACCACGAGAGTTCCCTTCCGAATCTGTTTTTATGACACAGCTAACAACCTTTCCAGCTTGTTTGAAAACATCTTTGAGTTTTTGCCAGGTTACACTGTAATCCAGCTAAAAGCAAAAGGTTAGAGACAAATGAAACAACCTACGTTACTAACATATACCGAGTCAGTAATTGGCCCCTCAATACCCATCTGACTTAACATATGGGGTGTGAAAACGGGTCCCACTCCAGCTACATTACCACATTCAACAGAGTTTGCGGGATCATTTGGTAGCGCTCCATCAACCTCCATTGATGCTATACGAGCAGCATCACGAGCTGTCTCTTCTCGAACAACCAACTTCCTGTCACCAACTTCAAATCGATGCATAGTTTCGATGGCTTTTTCTGCCCCCTCAATCGTCTTAAACTCCATCAGACTTTCATGATAAAGAAAATGAGCACAACCGTAAATCAACCTACCCCATTCCATTAGGCTTGCCATTCTTTTTAAACAACTGCAAAAAACCAGTGAACCCCACTAGGCATAACTTTCAGAAAACAATTCTAACGTACTTTGTTCCCGGAATAATTCTTTTAGCTTTTGCCAATTTAGATCGTATGGGATGTTCGCAATTATTATACGCCTCGATTTCACCCTGGAGCGTCGGGGAGAACGGCTCCTTGATCTCCTGTCGACAGGGGAGCGACGTCTTGCAGAACTATGATCGTCAAGACTTCTGAAACTTTATTACCAAGAAGTATGAACTAACCTCTCACTAGAAAAAGAACTCATGGCCGCAAAGGTTCCAGACTTCAGTTAACGCGGGACTTCGCACACCCGTAGAGTCAAGTGTACAATATTCAATGTGCTTGCATTTTCAGTCTTCAAGAATAAAAAAAATTGACTGATTCAGGCAGTGAAAACCTTCCCAGCAGATTTTTCTGTTATGATATTGTCTAGCTTTAAATGCATCTACCGAGGGAGCTGACAATAATTCCGCAAATAATAAGTCCCAGCAGTTTGCCACTCTATGTGAGAAGCATGAGAACACGCTAGGTTGATTCGACCCTGATTTTCGAGATTCATTTTGGTGGCCTCAAATATGGTCAACCCTTGCAGAAAGGAGGAAGGAATACACATCAGTCCTAGTGTCATTGCTAAGGTTTGGGAGTGCTAATACTAGATCCCACTCTTCTGCTACGATCCGACAACGAGAAAACTTAGTCACTCTAAAGTGTTCCCATAAGATGTGTTAGACAGACAAACTACTGATTTCTAGTTCCAAGTCTTTGAACGCATCTTTAATGAGGCTAGGACAGGCTATGTGAGTTCGAAATTTGAGGTGGGGTCGCAAAGAGGTGAAAAACAGCGAGTGAAACGAGTGTTCGTCAAATAATATGAACCCTTTTCAGAAAACAGCCCTCCTGATGCTTTAATTTACCCTGCGGATGTCTCCAGGCTTTGGCTGACTATGTTCCCCAAGTTTACGATTTCTTGAATGTCAGGTACATGTGTCGCATCTTTCAAATACCGGTGAAAATTGTTAGGATTAATATGAGTAGCTGTGCATTTACTTAAATTAATTTTTCGCCATAAACTTTTTAACTGCCTGACTAGGTCGTCTGAGTCCGTCCCCTCACAGATAACTACTGCTGTTTTACACCATGGGCAACGATGTCCAGAAGTTCTTTGAAATAGAGGGATAAGATCTTGTAATTGTCCTTGACGAACTCCAAGCTCCAAAAGTTACGACATGTATTGTGTCCTATAAACCGTCACCCTTCACCCCATATTTGATGTGCGCAACCTTTACGAAAGCGTTACAGTAGACATCAACCCCATAATCCACAATCATCTTATTTTTATAACAAGATGCCTTTTCCCCTATAGCTGTTAAGAAGTTACCCTAACAGGAGCGAACGGTGCGGAAGCTATACTCCATGGTTCCAAAGGATAGCCTTGCGACACGACTGAGCCCCCCATTCCCAATAATCGGGAACGATTCAGAAGCCGTACCGGTTGAGCTAAAGGACAATGACTCGGTCCTGGTGGCCTGCTTAGAATCCAGGGTTGAATGTCGTGTCTTTCCAGCACACCGGTAGCCAAGTTTGTCCTAGGCACACCACGTAGTATATAAAGATGCCTGTCAGTAATGAGCGAAAAGAAGGACAGCGGTGGTGGTGGTGGTAGTAGTAGTAGTAGTAGTAGTAGTAGTAGTAGTAGTAGTAGTAGTAGTAGTAGTAGTAGTATTAGTAGTAGTAGTAGTAGTGGTAGTAGTAGTAGTGGTAATAGTAGCGTCAACACACCTGTTGCCGCTGCCCCTCACATTTCTCCTACAACCTCTTGCGAACTTACTGCCAAATTTAGACGGGTAGTTAATCAGATGAAGGCATTCTTGGGATGTCCAATCCCTTGCTGCAGACCCTCTTTTATACAGAAGCTGTTCTGCCCTGTCACTTAAACAACCAGCCAGGCCCGTTGTAACTGAGATAAAGTGAGGCGGCTTGGAGTCCGCCTGGCAGTTCGAGTGGGGAGGTTTCCTGTAGACATTGGTCACAAAACATTCATCTCGTTTCAATTTTTTCCTGCGACCCAACACCAATGACTCTCCGTCGTCGTAGATGAATTCAATTGCGTACGCTGCTGAAGTTGTATGTGTACAGAACATACCAACATGTTCCGACTCGAACAATGTCGTTCAGATGTCTAAACCATATATTTGGGGTATGACAAAAGGTTTCTGAGTCTGCCTATTCTCAACTATCCATTTACGCATCTACCATGAAAAGGGATACTGGTGATCCCATGACAACCCTCGTTAGTTCCAATATTTTTTTTAAAAATTTTTCTGATGTACAGGTTAGGCTTTTCTGTGCCTTTGACATTATATTTCCGGTTGTTACCTCAGGCCAAAACACAAGCTCATCATCAGCATTATGTCCACTTCTAAATCTATCCAGAGCATTATTGAACAGTTTATGGGTCCAAAGCCAACTAGAAACAGGAAATGGATGGAGCGAGAGATAACCTAATTTTCGCTTATGGAATCGGCACCGAATATATACAGTGGGAATGATTCCGCATATGTCCCAGATATTTCGAAAATTCTACCACCCTTATTAAAATTGAGAGAGAATCAGAACTTCATTAACTATGTCACAAAGTTATGAAGTTACCTGATATAAAAACGGGCAGTAAATTACCTGCAGAACATTATCTAGCAAATAATACCGTTTCACTGCCTCACAAATTATGAAGAGGGTAGGATGAAATTCCTAACTCAGCAGTGTCCAAGATGTCCAACCATATTTTCTGCCTTTCTTACATTACCATAGACCAAGTAGTACTTGATTCATATATGTTCCTAACCTTGGAACACACAGTCCTGAAATTCTCCCAAGCTATTTTCAAGGGTATGTCCTGATGTTTTTCTTTCTTCGAAGTTCCAAGATACTGTCATCATTTGATGAGAGTTGTAGGAGCGCCTTAGCGGTGTCGACCAGAGGATGAACGTTAGGTAACCTCCTCAAATTTCTCTTTGATTTTTTCGGAGCACTATCTTTAGACATATCCCCAACCTCAGTCCGCTCTGGTACGACGGAACAGCCCGATCGCCAGAATCTTCATGTGCCTTACATTCTGTCTAGAAACCACAGAATCATAGACTAAGTTGAACCCGCAAACAGTGAAAATGAATACTGCGTGATCTCCATTGGCTATTACAGATGAGTACTGAAGGTCAGTCGATGCCTATCCCTGGTGTATGACAACCGAACTCAAGAGCTGCAGTCCGTGTCCTATGTCAAAACGCGTCTCACTGGTTGTTAAGGAAGGCAATACGACCTTTGTAGCCGCATTGATTTTTAATGTTCTTTTTCGCCTGCATGTGACTATGCTCCCGTCGTGTGGTTTATCTCCACCCTACCGTTACTCAACCCCTTGGGAGTACTTATGCAACCCAACCCCCAACACCAGTCTTGCCTCCGCCCTTTGTAGTTCAGTTTACTCCACTGTACTCGAAGTTACGTCCTGATTCCCCTGGAATGCTGCTTCCTTCTCCTTCTGAGGGCACACGATGCCACTATGGCTGATCCGACATGACTGCTTGCCTGGGATATTCTTGTTGTTTGAACTCACTTCTGCAGAGGCGTCTGGTTTCCTTACCCGATGACGTTCTAAATTTGTTGGCAGTGCATAGCCTCTGCCACTAATTTATCCGTAAAAGCCACCTTTTCTGCAGCAAAGAATTTCTTTTTGGCTGCTTAGTACCCAACCATTTTCGTTTTCGAGATAACTTCTTGTTACACGCCGCAAGGCGAACAGAAATGGAGGCAGATAAAACCCTATGTGACACATTTCCCTACCTTTGAGGTACGTCTCGGCCAGGCAAAACCAATGGAATCAAAGCGAACCATACAGAAAGAACCCAGCTGCCTCTTTTGTTGCATCGAAGCCCGTTCTAAACTGCAAGATGCGTCGCCATCAGAACGCCTGTATGTCAGCCCTCACGATGACCGCTTTTGGGATCAGAGCGCCTCCCGTGAGTGACAAAAGCGGACCATCATAAATCCAGTTTCTTGAATCTGAGGATGTGATCTCTGGTTGGTTAGTTTGTACTGGGATAAGGTAACCCGCTTTCACTGATGCAGCTTGATCCCCCATTAACACCTGTGCTTCGACCTCAATAAGTACCACCATGTCCCAACTGAGGCCACGATTTGTAAACGGTTCTGGCACGAAATTGGCAGGCGCACAAAAAGTGTTATGGAAAGGCGCAGATGACTGCCTTTGCCATCCGTACCTGAAAGTGGATGGCCTAGTATAAGGTCTGGTAGTCAGATATGAAAAGAAACGTTGATGTAGACGCATACCAGTAGTGGAAATGATTTTACCAAAACCTTGAGTGCTGACAGAGCCAAGAGCAACCAGCGAATGTATTGTTCCCAGATTACGGACTTAAAATGAGATAAGCCAGTGTATGGGCTTACGGTGGTAGTGAAGTCTATAACGTTTGGGTATTCCTGAATCGTACAGAAGGGAGGATATCAAACTGTATCATCATATCAAGCGGCCACAAGTTGCTGACATGTTGTGCCCGTCAGTGTGGTCCTCTGTTTCGTTAGACGAACATTTATTTCAACATCAGTTTCTAGACCTAGGCCAATTACTTCTGATGCGGTTGCGTGCTTGAACCGCTTCTCTTTACCCTTAATGTTACTGACCTTTGCTGGTGATTTTCAGTCGGTAAATGGTTGTTGTTTTCCAGCTACTCAAGGGTTGCACACACACTTGATAAACAAACAAACATTTTGTTCTCATGTCATGAATTTGACATGGGAGAAGCCGGTTTACGGGCATCATCAAATTGATTATTGTGGGGTAACCTAAAAGGTTTGAGCAATGTTGAATGTTAGAGAAGGGAGGACATTAAACTCCATCGTGGCATCAAGTGTCTGAAGGTTGTGGAAAGTGCAGAAGAGTACCACCTCACGGTATACGCACAACGTTTTGATTTTAGGTCACTCCTACTCACAATTCTTCTTTCACACTAAAGTGACACCGAATCGGGGTGATATTTGGTCTTCGTGTTGTGAGTAGTCAGCGTGAATGATCCATTTTCAAAACCCAATGTTTCATCAGATCTCAACAGAAATTCTTATGTTCACAGCCTTATTGACCAAGAAAAACTCACTCCAAGGATTTCAGGAATAAATAAGTATCCATACAATCATTTAATCAAGATGAATATCTATGTTCAAGCATTTCTCGCTTTTTAAGTGGCATCCTTCCCAGCAATTCGAATCGGTAATATTAGAAATACTGGTTGTGGTGAAAGTA